AAAAAACTACTTAAGTTTCAACTACTTGCAGTCGTGGGGGACTCGCGAAATAAAAAAAACACTTTACGGACCTTAAGGACCACTGCTATTCGCCGAAAGCAAAATAGCTGACGAACTTGGAAGCTGGGTCAACCCATTCCTTCAGAGAGACTTTGGTAACTTGGACCACAGGCCTCGCCTCGGCAAACACAGCCAACGCGAAGCATGATAAGAGTGCGGTGGTGAGGTGCCATTCCTCCAGAGATAAGCGAAAGCAGACGAAGATTCAAATCTGACACTTGCGAAAGGGTGCTCTCCTTTTGAGACTGTGACTACGTACCGGCGGTCATACCCGTCACGAATTCGGAAAGCGCCCTCTCGTGCCTTCGCTCTTCTTCACACCCCCTTCCCTTTCTTCCCGCGGTCGACCAGCTGTGACAGCAGCTGCGAGGTGAGGTGGGTGAGGTGCGAGGATCCCCTCTTGTGGGGCTGCCTTGGCTGGAGGAATTTATGCTAATTTCAGTGATCACCGGAAACAGGAGTGCTTCTTTGCCACTTCATCCACGGAGGCTGTGATTCTCTGATCCGATTAAGTGATTTCATGACATGTCAAGTGTCTCTTCGACCGCAAGATTAGGTTTGCTTTGGCGCCTAACCTACGTTTGCCTTTCCTTTCTACTACCGTACGTCTCTTATTCATTTATGCTTTGCTTTCTCTATGATAGTAACTAGTACGTAAAGCGAATTTTAGGTTTTGTTGTAATGTAGATGTCTTATTCCAAACTCCAATTTAGTGCAAAGAAAGAATGTAACATTGCATTGTGTCGTATCATAGTTTCCCATTCAAAGATTGCCTGTCAATGTTTTATTTACTTCCTACTGTGTTAATGTTATTGGTTTTGAGTTTGTCCAATAACATTTGTTGTTAATTATTTTCAACTCTCAGAACGTTTCCATTAGAGTTTGTATTTTAGTTATAAGCAATATTAACTTCAAAGTACTTGTATTTGCTTTCTAATTTTACCGAAGAATGATTGAAATGGACATATGTTACACAAGAGCTATTATCTTGCTTTTACGAATAGTGCATTGAAGTTCGATCTATTTTCATACTTATTTGTCTGAAGCTCCCGACAAAATATTCGGTAGGTTTCAGAATTACTTACTTGTTGGTCACTGGAATCTGCAATAAACTGTTCTTCCATGTCACAACACTACACTGGCTCTTTGGAGCTGTTTTGTTTGTTGTGTGAGGCTTTTGACGAGCTCTATCTTTATCTGATTGCACTTGGTCTTCATTCCCTCCAAATGAACCAAGTTGTACTCCTCTCCTCCACTGGCATCTGCTTCTGCTCAGCTTTGCTTGTTCTCTTCTTCCCCCTCTGCCATTCTCAACTTTACCTGTTGGAGTTTCACACTCCCGCCCACCCTCTCCACCCCCT